TTCAATAAGAATTCATTTTGTTTAAAATTTTTAATTACGTTCAAAATTGTAAAACTAATATTTTTTCATACTTGAATATTATTTCAATTATGTTGTATAATTTCCAATTTTTTATAATTGTATAATTTTCAAATTTTGCGCTTGTTATTTATTATCTATAAATAATATTAGATACAATTTAGTAACTTTATGTGAGACTATTATAGATAGAAAATTCATCCATCCAATTTTGAATGTGTGTATTTTGTGTAAAATACTATTGTAGTGTTGTATTATAATTTTTATTTAAATACGACACATATATTTAGATATTATAAATTTAATGTAGCCTATTGTATGCTAAGAATACATGAAATTTTATAAAACTTCGTTATAAGGTATCAATCAATACTAGTGATACTACTAATAATAATAATTACATTTCTTGTACTCCAACTAATTTTACCATTTTATACGGTATTTTAATGATTATAAATATAAAAAAAAGGATTTTATTCCTTGCTAATACTAGTGCAAAATATATTATTAGTACACCAATGTTTAAATAAATTATTAGCTCAATTAAATAATACGAATTCATACTCATTAAGCTTGTCGAGTGAGATTCGTTCACTAGTGGAAGCAAAACTAAGATTATTAACAACTCTACGGAGTATTCTAGTGGCCTTAGAATCTTGTTTTATTTTATATAAATATATTGCTCGAAAAATTGAACTTCGAAGTTTCTCTAGCATGTTACGAAATTTGGTACTATATATAGCAATTAATTATACGTCCGCCGGATGTACTTTTTTACAGATCATCATTTAATTTGTATGAAAATTAAGTTTTATATAATAGAAAAATTATATTTTTTTAATATAAAATTGATGAATTTTAGTGATAAATTTTTATTAAAAATACCAACACGCTTGTTATTTCTTGGATGAATTGTACACACAAGTGCATACGGTATTAATAAATACAAAAATTTAATAATACATTTATCTCTACAAATTCATATATACATACGTATATAACTGAATTGTTACGCGCGTCTACTGAATTGTCAAAAATGTGTGTCCATTAATAAATTGTATAATGAAAAAAAAAATATATTGTTAAGAGTATGGAAAAACGTATTGTTCTCTTTAATTTGATTATTTCAGTTTCCTTATGAAAAATGAAAAAAAAAATCAAAACCACTTGTAACAAATAAAAAACATATTTTCAAAAATTATTTATTTAGAAAAAAATACATCATAAATATCTTGTATACATTACAGATATTATTATTTGCGTAAATTTATATACAATTATTATAAATAATTTCATAATTTGATGTATTTCTTAAGAATTTAATTTTTCTTTTTTTTTTGTTTTTCTTTTTTTCTTTTTCAAAGACTCAGTTTTATCTAATGTTACGTTCATTATATTCTGTGTTATTGCCTTTAATTCATTTTTAATGTTTTTTTCTTTAATAGATTCTTCAGTATTAAGATGTACAGCTTTTAAACTTTTTGTTATTTTGTCTAATTCAATTTTTTCTTTCCTACGTAACTTTGACAGTTTTTTTTTCTTTATCTTAGCATTTAAATAATCTACCTTCTTTTTCAAATCTGTATTTGGTTTGTAAACTGACTTGACTGCATAGACTGGAGTCCATGTAACATTATTCGACTTTATAGGTACTTCATTACCAGAAAATTCTGCTTGAAATTTATCTTCTGTTTTAATATCTTCGTTCTTAATCAAATGTAAATCTAAATCAGTTTTATGCGATCTTTTAAATTTCTTTGCTTGAGAATTATTCGGATCATCATCTTCCCATGTATTAGTGATATTCTCATGTTGATTAATCTCATTTTTTTCCTTTTTAAATTTCTTCTTCCTCCTCTTCTTCTTTTTTATATCTATATGTTTGTTTTCAGTATGATCATTAGCTTGATTTTGAACATTTTTTTTAATTACTTTTTTGCTTGTGCTTTTACTTGGAGGAACTGTTGAATAATTTGATATATTATCTATTTTATCTTTTTCAAAACTTTCAGTATCATAGGACATTGAACTTCCCTTTTCCCTCTTTCTTTTCTTTTTATTTTTTTGTTTATTCTCCTGTTCTAATCTTTTCTTCGATATGGTATGTATATTTGTTTCATTACTATCACTTATATTACATACAACATTTAATTGATCACTCAAATAACTTATACGCTTTCTATAATTTTTTGTAACATATTCGTATTCATCGTAAAAGTTTCGTATTTCATTTTCAGGTAAAGTCACTATTATGTTTTCATCATTAATCTCTTCATATTCATTATTATGCAATATGGTGTTATTGTTTTGTAATTTTGTTGATATGTTTGTACATGAATCTGTGCTTAATAAATATTTGTCTTGCTGGGCAATTCTACCATTAGTTCTACCATTACATATTTTAAATAACTCTTCATCCATTAAAGGAACATCATTGATATTTTTTTCAGTATCTTGTTCTTTACATGTATTGGAACTATCTTTTATTAATACATTACCATTAAATAACGTACAAGATCTAAGAAAATTTCCATATTTAGATTCTTTTTCAGTTAAATCTTCTTTAAGATCATTAGTTGCATTTTCTTTTGAAACAAATATAGTAACTTTATTAGTTTTTGATACAACTTTGATATTATTAGCTGCTTTATCAAAAGCATGTTCCCACCAATTATCCCATTCTTTATTTTTATGCCCTAGTCCTGCAGTATCAAATTTTAATTTTGGTTTTAAAGCTTCTGTAATACCATTTTCATGTTTGCCTAAACCTTTACCTATATAAATAAAAAACAAAAAAAAAACATTTACAAGTACTTTTTATGAAATTATTCCAATTTACTCATATAACATATATTTCTAATATTTCTTATAATGCATATATTCTTAGATTATAAACATTTTAAATATATACTTTAAATATATAAAATGTGGCAATAATTATAATTTTATTATATTATTCTTCTAATATATCATACCTTCTCTCCAACCATATTTCATAAGCTGAGACTTTGAAAAATCGTTCATATCCAAATTTTCGTTTTTCCAATTTTATATAAAAAAAATTCATTTAACAACCTACAAACAGTACGACTCGTAAACTGTTCACGTTTTCACCAACTTGAAGTTTAAGTGGAAATGAATGAAAATTATCCTATTTTCTAGATATATGTTGAAATTTTCTGAACTATCATATGGTGGTGTTATTGAACGATTGTAAGTTGGTATACGGTACATAGGGATTTTGGTAAATGTTTAATTAATGTTACATTATCTCGACATAAATGTCTTATTATTAATTTGAAATGTTTTGTTTTTATCTCAATAAAATTTTCTTATATATTTTCTGTTCTATGTATTATTTACATGTATTATTTGCATTACCTTAATAAAGAATAGCGTTAACACTATTTGTAAAAATAGTAAGTAAAGAAGGCTTCTGTTTAATTAAAATAAAATATACGAAAAATATATTATTTTTCGTATATATATTTAGGATTATAATAATATAATATAGTTGTTATAAAAAATATGTTGTCATATAATATAGTTATAAAAAAAAAAATCTGATTCGCTGTCAGCTGCAGTTACTGCAGCTCTGAGGTAGTAGATGTGGAACTTGTATGTGTATAATAAGGCGCACTGCCAAGATATGGCACTAGATAGAGCCTTGATCGTTGTATCGTGGTGTCGTAGAAAGAGGGACATTAGAATTGGAATGAGACAGAGAAATTAGTACGCGTAAGACCCGCAGTGACGCGAAGACGTTGGGCAGACGTCACAATATTAAAAACAGACCGAGGTTTGTGAACTTTATACCTTTATGAATATTTGCAATGTCTCACGAAATCTATGTTCGTTTCTAATTTTCATATAATACGATTAGACTTTAATGTTGTATAAATATTTTTAATTCGATTGTATCTTATTTCGATATCTAATACCTATTAAAATAAATGAAACTAATGAGCATCGTATTTTAACTAATTGGATTAAAATTAATGTTGTAGAATTTTTTACAATGTAATACTCCCAAATATGTTTTTCATGTTATTGTTGTAGTTATTATTATTACTATTATTACTGTTACTATTATTATTGTTATATATGCTGATATATTTTTTGGCTCAATTTAGGTACATACTCGTATTAGAAAAAATGGCATTCCGTGAATTGGTAGAAGGTGACTGTGGTGGGCCCAGTTCTTTAATTCGCTTAACATCACATTTTGTACGTGATCATGGATTTAAAGAAGAAGGAATACATCATCCTTTTGACCATGTGGAACCTTTTCAAGCTTCAGATTCAGATCAGTTAGTTAAACAATTTTTAGAAGAAAATCCTTCGTGTCCTCAAACATTTAGAATGGATAATTTATTACAAGAAATGCGTGAAATTGATCAAAATATTCATCCACCTATAGCAGCACCGGGAGTTGCTGAAGAATTAACCAGTTTAGATACAGCCTGGGCAAATCAGTATCTTCAATCAGGACGTCATTTTAATGTAATTCTGATTTTATCATTGGAATTTATACATTAAATGCATTACAAATACAAATCAAATTTTTAATATGATTTCAATTAATATAGGAACATCATGCTGATGACATTTGGCATCATGAGGTAGAACAAAACATCTTAAGTCATCAAAAACATGAACTAGGATTAGGTCCAAAATGGGCTGAAGAATATATAGAACATAGTATAGATGCTATACAGAATAACATAAATATAGAACATCCAACAGAAGCAATAGAAAACAATGATAATCCTAATTTTGAATATTCAAAATTTATGAAATTTATGAAACAGGAAGGAGATGTCTCTATAGAAAACAATCAAGAATCACTGCCAGATTTTCATAATACGAGTAAAGACTGGACAGAACAATATGAAAAAGATAATCAAAAGTCCAAAGACAAAATCTCTACTAAGAGTCAAGAAACTGAAGTGACAAATAAGATAGAAGAAGAATTAACTGTTACTGATAATTGGATAGATGAATTTCAAAAAGAAAGTACTTCTTCAGGTTAGTAGGCATGTTAGTATCTCAATAGTCATATGTATAAAAAATAACATTTATTTTAGAGACAGACAATTATGAGTCTACATTCTTAAAACTTCAAAGTGAATGGGAAAAAATTTCGTCATCTGAAGAATTATCTTCCAAGCATCCATGGCTTTCAGAATATGATACTTTTTATGATCCATTTAAAGATTATGAATTTCATGAAGAGAATCCTATGAAAAACTTACCTAATGCATTAGAAGAGGGTAAGAAAAGATTAGCAGCTGGAGATTTACCAAGTGCTATACTTTGCTTTGAAGCAGCAATACAACAAGATGAAAAGAATTCAGAAGCTTGGTTACTTCTTGGTAAAACTCAAGCTGAAAACGAACAAGATCCATTGGCTATTTCTGCTTTGAAGCGTTGTCTAAGTTTGGATCCTACAAATGGTGCAGCCCTTATGGCACTTGCAGTTTCATACACAAATGAATCTTACCAAAATCAAGCATGTATAATTCTTAGAGAATGGTTATTAAAAAATGAAAAATATAAGCATCTTTCAGTAGAAAAGATTAGCAGTCCCGAGCAACAGTCAAAGTCAAATGTATCATCGATCCTGTTCAAGTAAGTAATAAGTTTAGTAAAGTACACACCTTATAGAACATTATCTAATATTTTATTTGCTTTTATGTACATTTTCTAGTGATGTACATGAAGAAGTAAAAAATCTTTATATTCAAGCTGCACGAATGAATCCGTGGAACGAAATAGATGCAGATGTACAGTGTGGATTAGGAGTACTTTTTAATTTATCTAATGAATATGATAAAGCTAGTGATTGCTTCCAAGCAGCGCTGCAAGTACGCCCACATGTATGTATTAAATCAATCTTTAAAATATTAATAATTGTTAATACATTATCAAAAATATAATTTTAAAATATAATGTAATGAAGGATTCTAGATTATGGAATAGATTAGGTGCAACTTTAGCTAATGGTCAAAAATCAGAGGAAGCTATAAATGCATATCATCATGCTTTAAAATTATCACCTGGATTCATTAGAGCTCGTTACAATCTCGGAATTTCTTGTATTAATCTTGGTGCATATAAGTGAGTAAAATTTTTTTACATTGTATACAATTTTTTTATACTATTGAATCGTTTATTTTTCTACAGAGAAGCAGGTGAACATCTTGTAATAGCTTTAAACCAACAAGCTTCCGGCCGTGGAATTCATGGTGAAAGTTTCTCACCGAAAGCGATGTCGAATACTATTTGGTCAACTTTGAGACTTGTCATTTCGCTTATGCACAAATATCATTTAAATGAAGCTATAGAAAACAGGTACAACTAACAAGTACTTTTAAATAAAAACTATCATATTTCATTATGTCTAATATTATTTATTATTTCAGAGATCTAACAAGGTTGAATAAGGAATTCGAAATTGCATAAAAACTTGTTGTCTTGTCTTAAATGTCTAATATGTTAAAATAAAGCGATTAAAAATATTTTTCGTAGTTAAAAAATGTACATAAAAAAAATTAAAAAGATACTATCATATAATTTCTTTGTTATAAGAAGGGTTGATTTAAGCATATTAAATGTCAAAAAAAACTAATTTGTTGAATACCTTTGATAGGTACATAAGTAACATGACTTTTTAATATTTTATCGTCCATAAATTATTAAAAGGGGTTATATACATCAATATAATAAAATTGTTATGCATTTAATAAAATTTGGTTAAAGTAATTGAATCCCTGAAAAAATAAATAAATAAAGGTCAGGTAATATACATAAAAAATGAAAAGGAACGAGCGCAATCCTAAAACGATAAAATAATTTCTATTTTTTTTTTTCTGTTTTTCTTTCAATAAATGAATAGTATTATAAAAATATGACCACATAATAAAGAAGCATTCTGATATGAGTTACAGTTATATATTATTTCTATCATAATTTATAAATATCATAGATAACTTCTAACATAATTATATTAGATTTGTAACAAAGAGAAATTAATCCTAAAGGCACATCAAAGTTACATATAATGTAACAGTCAGAAAGTGATGAAAATATAGAATTACATTATAGGATTAACAAATATAATAGAAAGTAACTGTCTTAGCAATATGTGATTTCCTAAACACATGCCACCCCGCCCTTAGCGGTTAAAATATAAACAATTTTTAACAAATTCTTAGAAATATTCAAACAGCAGTCAAAAATACAATGATCATTGCTACAAAATTTATTAATACAGTGTATAAAGCAATTTATTATATTAAATATTATATATAACACTGCAAAATTTTAATATCTATATGTTTGGTTCTCTGTATAAACTTTTTATAATTATGATTCAACTATGTCATTAGCTAAGGGAAAGATAACATACGTCTAGACATAATACAATATATCTATATAGAACATCTCAACAATCAATAATAGGGAATTAATTTCATCTATAGTATTTGTCTTTAAGTTTTAAGAACTTGTTAATGTAATTTTATCCATAAGAAATCTTACGCGTGACTAAGATTTTAATCAGGATTGAACATTTAAATTAATTGAATTAAAAAAAATTACTTTTTAAAATATTAAACAAATAATGAGATCATTGTAAATTACATATTCAATAATGATTTAAATATGTATTCAGTAAGAAGAAACACCTATCTATATAAATGATAAATAAAAAAGGTATCACAAAACATGATCACAGAAATCAAATAATTCTAAGCAAGAAATTGTTAGTTTACAAAAATCGTATCATTTGAAAAAGTACTGTTTTTAAATTTTCTCTAGAATGTATAATTTTTATACAACATAATTTGGAATCATGTTTTTTTTTTCTTTACAGCTAAATAAAATTGGACCTATTGCTATTGTTAGATGACAATGAAGTTAATGCTCACAATTTTAAAGTTGATAAAAGTTGTTGTCCAGTTTCTATTATTAAAGATTTAACATGTTCAGCGTGCATAATTTGATTACACATTTCACTGCATTTCTGAAATGTTATTACATCATCTTTTGGAAGAACACGATGTAGACTTTTTAAAGATAACGTATGTGGTAAATAATTCAAAATTGCTAAAACAAGAAGTATATTATAATGTAATTTAGTATACTTTAACATAAATATATTGAAAAAATTTACCTTTCATAATTTGAGTGTATAAACATTGTAGTTCTTGTCGAGAGTTTGATGTAGCAATTTTACTTTGTGTTAGTTCAATTAAATACTTCCATTCAGAATCTTTAGTATACATATCCTAAAATTGTAAAGCAATTTTTATAATTAAAAAAAGTTGAAAATATGATAAAATAGAACATATAATGTATACCTTTGCATATTGCACAACAGCTTGAGAACAATTATCCATTAAAAGTGCTGTTGCTTCCTCGATATTTTGAGTGCACAACGTTTTTAAAGATAAACTGCCATCAATTTCTTGCGTTTCAAGAAATTGCTTAACTTCAAATAAGCATTCATTTGGTATAAAATCACAAGATAATACAGATTGTAATTTAAACAATTCCATTGGTATAGTTTTTTCAGTGTCAGTCTTATCGATATCGGCTAAATCTTTTAAATCGCATACATTCAGAACTTTTTGATAATCTTTTGCATATGGCGGCATCCCGTTTAGATAATGGGGTCTAAACTTCATAAATATGAAGTTATCATAATTTTCTTGTATAGTTTCTTTATTTTCTATTTTGTACACTTTCGTTTGAGTTAATTTGCCTAAGTACGATCGCACTAATAGCTTAAACGCTTCAACCAAAGCGAAATCCGTGCGTATTTGATTTTTACTTATAACAGATGAATCTATAATCAATTTTGTACTGAAGTAGTTGTGAAGATATTTTTCAAGAAATACTTGTAATGTCATTGCTGCATTATGTCCATCTCGTCCTACTCTCGATGGCAAATATTCTAGAAACACCTGTATAATTTGATGGAGAGATAAAATTCCATCCTCTTCAATTAATTGTATTAAAATTTCTGCAAAAGTTGCATTTTTTTGACGCATTAATGTTCCGGCGAAATCTGAAAACGTCGGAATCATTGGACTTCTTTTTTTCATTGCTGTCATGTCAAACAATAGGTCCCAATGTTCTAAAACTATTTTTTTAATACATAACGCTGAGACTGGTTCAAGTATTTTTTCTGCTTGCTCTTGTTTCTCAGCTTGTATATATAAAAGTGCCAAAGCTAATTTAATTAATTCGTCTGTTTCATACAATAACAAAAGATGTATTAACTTTTCTGTAGTATATTCTCGTAATACGGGACTACTGAAGATCAATATCAATAAATCCGGCTTTTTTAATTTACATATTATTTCTACGATATTAAATCCTTGGAACAAGGCATCAGCTTCTGAACCACTTTTCATAGTAAAAAGTGTATCAGTTAAAAATGTAACGAGACCCGGTGCATCTTGACTTGATTTTCTAGATAAAACTTCTGAAGGTTTTAAACCCGACATTTTATAATAGGGTATACAAAAATCCCAGTCTGACTCATATTCAGAACGAATATAATAATCTCCAAGCAGTGCACATGATTGATTATATAAATTCTTCAATTTCAATCCATTTTTATTTGCGATATCGTCAAATTCATTAATGTCTGAGCAGTTATACACAGCATCTTTAGCTAAGCGTATCAAAGCATGAGCCTCTCCTAACAAATGCCGGTATGTGTTTGGACTAGAAGATTTATGATTCCTTGCTGCATTTAAAATATCATAATACAAATTTTCCAATTTAGGTAAAATTAAGGAATACAAAGTCCAAGAATTTTCAGCTTTGGCTAAGAGAATAAGATAATTTTTGCTATGTAATAATTGTTGTATTCCTAGGAAAGGTCTTAATCCTATTAAGCAAACAGGTTCAGAGATACTAGGACATGTAACTCTCAAGTTTTCTATATCATTTGACATTCTGGCAACATGGTGAGATAAACGTAATGTGTATGATTCAAGACCAGCTTCAGTAAGTGCATGCAAAGCAGTATGTTCCAAAGCTACATGATTAACAGGTGCCGTAAATGGATAACTAGTTAAACAAGTTGCATCTGTAGGATTTGAACTAGTTGCAGAGAAGTGATAAAGATATCCTTCTTGCAGTGTGCATAAAAAGCAACTTACACCCTGCAAATATATGTATTTATCTGATCTAAGGATTGATCTTTTTAAACAAGAATTATTACACTCTTTCCTCATATATAATGGTTTCAATAAAGAGCAACTGAACAATTCAGAACTTCCATCAAGTTTATTGTTAGCTGCCATTATTTTAAGAGACAGTAAATTTTTTATTGTATAGTTTTCTGACCATCCTAAATCAGGAGAATTTGTTTTAATTATAATTCTTATGTCTGATGGATTTAATATGAAAGGACTCAAGGTGTGTCCAGGTCCTGCACGTTCTAAACTTATAGATGGCAAATTTATAGTTAAAGACTGTGAGTTTCCATCGACAATCTCTTGATCAATTAATTTTTGTAATTCATCTCTTTCATTATACAATAAATGATCCAAATTTATAACAGTATCATTACTATTTGATTTTATTTTCCTAAAATCTCCAGTCTCCAGTTTATTCCATATACTTGTTTTAGAACTTTTATGTTTTCTACTTTTAAATTTTGTACTTATTCCACTAGAATCATTGTTTTCTGACACAATGAAATGAAGGTCTTGACTAGAACTTTTACGTTTTGAATTTATTCCTTGCAATATTGTATTATCATCTTGATTAACCGTATTGCTATTTTCCACAAAAGAAGAATCAGTAGATATAGACGTTTTATCAATAGACGAAGAGTTTGTAGAAGTGAGAGAACTCAATTGATCAATATCCTCATACATTGAATTAGTCAACCGAAAGACACATAAATTTGTCTTATCCATAATTGATATGAAGTCTTCAACAATTTCCATATGCATAGGAGAGAATGAGAAGCCTAAAGACCATGGTCTTGCTTCAAAATCTATAAACTTCATTTTTGATACTTGCTGTGTTTCAATTTTAAATTCATGTAGAATAGCACTGTTTCCTGAAGCCACCAGGAGATTTCCAGTACTTTGGCAGCATGCAATCAGTGTAGGTTGTACACTTAATGGCAATTCTATCATTTCCAAGCTATTCAATGGTCGATTTAAACTTGGAGTAACACGTCCCGCTATTCTAGCACGCATAGGTTGACTTTGATCTTTCACCATAGCCCAATTAACATAGATTCTAACAAAATTATTAATTGTTTTCCCTGTATGATTATTGATGCTTGCATCTCTGGATAATTTTGATTCTAATGTTACAACATAATCTTCTTTGGTGCAGTGCACCATTTGATTAATCATATCTACTGTTGGAAAAACAGTATGTAGTTTAATATCAGACATCATCAATTCCCAGACTTCAACGCAATGAGTTGACAATGCCAGAAGGAGCATTTCATGCCCAGATGCATTTGCTATACAGCTTGCTGTTGGCTCTTCAATTTGAGTGATGTTTTGTCCCACAAAATTATGTACTGTGATTACACGCACCATGTTGACTTTTGTGCTAAAAGAGTTCTTTAAACATATCTTTATTATTCAAAGGAAAACTACTATGTCTAATAATAGTAGATTGGTCACTTTGATAACTAAATTGAACATTTATTATATAATTACTGAATTTAAATTAATAATTATTTCATTTGAATTTGATACATCACTACATGATGTAATGAAATGATATTTTAAGGTATAAATTATCATAAAATTCGTTCGAAGGTTATCTTACATTTTTAAACTATTAATATACAAGTTGCTTATGAAATATGTCAAAGGATGATAAGTTCGTTGTATCTTCGGAAGCTTTTAATATTAATGAGGTACAGAATCAAGTTTAAGAAAATATGATTGAAATATCGCTTTCTTTCTGTTCGGATTAATAGATCTAACTGCCTAAAAATCCATTAATTGCTGGTTAATGCTCAATAACTCAATGACGCGTACTTTGACATTTTTTAATTCATGTTTTATACATTTAACACCCTTGTTGTATGACAAATAATATTGAAAATCACAACTCACAAAAAGTACGAGAAATCACATTGCTTAACGCCACAGAAACAAACAATACGATATTTTATACATGATTTTATACAATCTAAGAACACTACGGATATTACAAAGAATGAAAATACAGTTCATTCGTTTGAGAGATCTTTTAGTACGCGCATGTACGCTAATGGTTAGAACATAGTTGTGCTACATACGCACTCTATGTACTTACTAGCTTTGCCCGCCAAATGCGATTACACATAGTCTCAAAATTATAATATGGAAATCGGAATCTTTCCAGACACGATTAATAAAAAATAAAAAACAAATAATCTAAATATCAATTTTTTAAATGATTCTTTAAAATATATTTTATAATAAATTAAATGTGTTCACGACTTATCTTTTAATTTTTATTAAATAAAAAATTATACATACATGCACTGTTATTATATTGGTTTTAATCAGATTGTAAAAAAATTTTATTTAAAAATATTGATTTCCTTATTCTATAATTTTATAATTCTATAATATTAATATACTACAACATTGTAACAAATGCTAGTCAAATATAAATGAACATATAATACCATTTATTTTAATTATATTACTTATAAAAATGTTATAATATAATGTCAGTTTTTGATCTTATTATAATTGTAATGCTTATTATTATTATTATAATTATAATTGATTTTAAATCAATTTCATTGGCACACACAATGACAAAATGTGAAATGCATCTTATAAAACATGTATTCTATAATTATTTTAACTACTTCGTTGCGATAACTTTCTCGATATGATTCTTCAAAGTTTCCAATTGCCTCATGGTTTCTGAATCTAATGCAGGAATATGTGACATACGTAAACCATCATTAGGTAATAAAGACATGATATTGCCATTACTCAAAGGTACATTAACATTAGCAATGTTTTCTTGGACAACTCCAGAAACCATTAGGGGACTACCTTGCATACTAAGAGCCATTTCTCCTTGCCTTGGGCGTCTTAATATATTTAATGGTGTATTGGGTTTTATTTTCGGTGTTATAATATCAAATTCATTGCTCCCATATTTTGTAGCAGCAGGAGTTTTAAATTTATCAATTTTCACAGATTTTTTAAGTTGTTCTTTCCTTGTTGGCTTCTTTATAGTATCTTGATTTATTTCACTAAGTTTTGTTTTACTAGTCCTTGAAGTGCTACGTGTTCTTCTGGTAGTAGGTGGTGCCAGTTTCCTAGCCCTTGATGTGCGCGTTGTCGTAACTCCCTCGGTCACATATCCATCGTCTGTTCCGCTAGTAATTCTTTTACCAGTTTTCTTTACTTTTACTGTCGATGGAGCTAATCGTGACGAATGGTCATCAACGGATGATAAAATTTCATTGCAATTTTCTTTCTCGTTATTGGTCTCATAATTGAGTATTTCACCAAGAGTCATCTGTCGAATCTCGGTCGGGAGCCGAGATAAAGTAACGTCAATAAAAGTTTCAAGGCTTTTTATTGCCATCTCGGATTCTGCTTCCATCTTTGAAATTCGCAAATTCGCCTGTCGCTTAAAATCTCTGATTAATAAATCACTTTCTTCTGTAGAACGCTGTACTTGTTTTATTTTCCGTGAATGTTTCGTTCGCGGCATTTTTATCAGGCGAAGAATAAAAATAACCAAACTACCTATTTGCTTCTTTTATTACACGTGTTTTATTCCCGTGTAAACGAAATTTAATTTTAAACATACATGGATATATCATAAATATATATTATCACAAATTGTTTATATATTTGACTTATGCTAAAATAGATATCTTCAATTTCGCTTAGAGCCGTTAACAGTTTACAAGCAGTCAATAACAGTCGATAACAATAATTACAGAGGATGACAAACTGGTTAAAACATATATACCCAAAGAGCAATCTAGCGTCGTTTGCCTGTATTACATTCTACGTGTTCAAAAATACACTTCTCAGTGTATTCAATTTGATTTGAATTATGTGAAAATTATTCGCGGCAAATTTCTTAGATCAGGTATTATTTTAATTCTCAGAATTATAAATTGTTAGAATAATTAAATTTATCCATAAAACTGTACAAATTAAAATTATTATTTTGCCTTTCAAGTATGTATATAGAATTGTACGTATGTGACAATTCTTGAATGACTGTCTATATTATTTGGAAAAATTATGGAGATAAAAAGTTTAGATGGAGAATGAAAATTCTAATAATAATATTAAGAATTGATAAATAATTTCAAGTGAACGTTTCGTACGCGATCTTGATCTCAATATTGGCGTAATTTCTATGAAGTTTGACAAACTCTTATTGTTTAAATGTTACAATGGATACTACCATTCAGTACGAAAAATCACTTTCTGATTACAGACGAAGTGAACGGCAAGAAATGATGATAGCTCCTCCATTGGATTTGTCATTTAAAAAAGCAACAACAATGATTGGTATGTAAATCACATAGTGCATTGTTTTAATTTTATATTACTTTCTCAGTTCAAAGATAATATTAATAAGAATTTTTATTTTGTTACAAGAGAATTGGCAAATAAACGGCCACAGTCAGTACGAACGGGTAAAATTCCATTACGAACACCTGCGGATCGTTTTGTAACATGTTCTTTATGGTTAAGCAATAATTTATTAACTTCAATGAACGGATTTGAAAATCTTGCACAAAAGCTTCTCGATGATCCATCACATCTTAGTTGGCTCGATCTTTCTTTTAATGAAATAGAACATATTGGGGATGACATTATAAAATTTCCGAATTTAAAAATTTTATATCTACATGGAAACAATATTTCGGATATCAATGATATTGTAAAATTAAAAAAGTTACAAACTCTTAGATCTTTAACATTACATGGAAACCCCATTGAAAATCTGCCATATTATAGAGGATATATCGTTCATATTCTGCCACAATTAACGGCGCTAGATTTTTCAGCAGTATTATCAGCCGAGAAGAAGAAGGCAGCACCAGCTGGGTTTTATAAAATGATACACGATCTTACATGAATATAAAACTTTATTTTCAATTTTTGTATTAAATACACGCTTTCTTAAGTATCGTAACTTACAATATATTTTTGAGAATGTACATACGAGAATATAATATGTAACATAACGGATTCTCTTAAGAATAATTTACTTTAAATCTACTGTTACCATCGTTAAATTAACTTAAGATATGTAGCAGAAATTAATAGTCCTACTTAAATTATATTTTAATCAACAGAGGTAAAAAAAGGCCCCCTTGTATTATATTACAAGTTGAATGCGACTGTCCGCGTAATCGCAATTTTGTAATATACGCAGTAATTTTGTTATATATTAAATAATTCAATGACGTCTACGTTTACTGCGATGTTTAGTTGACTTTTCTACATCTCTGTCCCGAGATCGACTACGCGATCTATAACGACTACGTGATGATTTATGACTACCAGATCGTCTTCGCTGCGCCTTTTTCGGTTTTCGAGATCGTCCGTGACTATGACTGCGAGATCTACTTCTACTGTGTTTTTTTCTCTTGGAATGCTTTGTTCCTTCACCCCTAGATGGTGAAGTACTTGGTGATTTTGATCGTCTAAATAGGAATAAAAACAATTAATTACATTTTATTACTTTATTCTTTTTCGCGAAATCGTACCTAGGTGATTTTGTTCTCTCGGGAACAGCGTGTGTACCACTACGACTAATAAATCCACCCCAGGCATTATGGTGTTTAGGCAGTGGTGGACTAGGTGTGTGGCTATCTACATCCCCACTTCTTGCTTTGGTTCTTGCTTCTTCATATTGTCTACGAAGTTCTTCTACTCGTTTTTCTAGCTGTTCTGGTTTAACACGAGGTCGGAAGTAAAGTCGTAATATACGACGGCAAACGTCTCTTATAGCAGATTCATTAACTTTAAAAAGAGAAAACCAAGCAGGTGAAGTAGGTAAAGGTAACTGGAGTTGTCTTGCTCCCAAATATACACATGCACAAGCAACAGTTTCCGGTTGATGTCTTAAGAACACATCAGACCTTAAGGAATCATTCATATAGTTCCAACATTGTTGCATTAGAGCATGATTTTTTTCATATCCCAGTACTTGTAAATACATAACAATAATTTTGTGAGGATGTTTTACATGAACGCAGAAACCTAATTCCTTTAAGACTCTTCTTTCAGATTTAATTACTTGATTCTTCAAAGCTACATAATTTTGATCAAGTATTACAGGTTGTATTGGCCTGAAAAACAAATTTACTAATTAATGTTATTTGTATACTTAAAATGGCCAAATTTTGTTTTGAGGCACCATTTTCTTTTTTATTGTAATTGATAAGTACAGACGATATTAAGTGTTAGAATCCATTAAAGGAAAAAATAATGTCCTAAAACAAAATTTATTTTTATTTTTCCATAAAATTTTAAGATACTAAAAACAAAGGATTATACTTACTTTTGACTGGAAACTTGTTTTATATGATTAAACACATTAATAACATCTCTGATACGTCTGGGTGCTTCTTCAATTTTACTAGCTAAACAAATACAACCCATTGCAGTTGTTTCCATATTATGTCTAACTAACGATTTACTATAATAAAACCGTTGAAAGATTACTTGTCCCGTGGCCATTGCAACCTATTGAAAAAAATTAATAAAAATAAAGACTACGCGTTTCGAGGTTATAGAGGTTATAGCGTTTATAAACATTTCGTTTACTCGTGAAAATTACTACAAACCTGAGGTAATTTTAATAAAATACCAGCTGTCTGTATTAGCTCGCATCCTAATATTCTTAAATCAGTTTCAGTTTCTGCGTCCAGTCCATCTAAGTGCGACGGCGTCGAATTGAGTTTTTCTTCGGGTAAGAGACAATTTTGAAGAGTTAACACGATTTTTCCATAAGGTTTTGGATTGCCAATGACTGTATTTTTTGCCGGTGTTGTAGAATTTTCTTTCGTATTGCTCATTTTTGTTCACACCAATTAAATAAAGAAAAACTTCTTTGTTCATCCACTTGTGATAATAGAGGTTAACCTTTCACATTGTCTCGACTACCGCACCTTCGAAACGAAAGCTTTAACTAAATAAGTAAACCTCCTATGTACTATAATTCATATAGATGGTACCACTGTCTGCTTTGGATAATCAACTGTTTTACTTGACCCACGGTCTATGATATACCTCGTCTGTGCTAATATTAATATCATAACATAATATTAAAAATATAAATCTAAATATTCACATTAAAAAAAATTCATTATGATAAATTCGTAATAACAATTTCTCTTATGTTATAAATTATGTCGTTCTGTAACTATTGGTCACTTCCGGTAGCCATTAGTCAGTAGACAGTAGCTTGTGGAACACCATCGCGCGCGTACGTAATTATGAAAAATTTGAAATATAGTGCAGAATGGAAAAGTGTAATTATAACTTAAAATAGCGTGTTAGAAACACTAGTCAAAATATTCTGTTTTTCCCATATTAAACTTGGGATTGATATTTGATTCGGTAAGATATACAAAATACGTCGAATTTTTTTTAAAATTCAAGAGTCGTAAAAGCTTGTCAGTTTTTTAAACATTGTTCGTTTTTATTATGTTGTAGGTGTCCGTTGTTAGCTCGTCAATGCTGTTATGGTTCTACGAAAACAATATTCATTGTTAATTGGTGAGTGTCTTTTTATATCGTACTGTACGAATAGAGTAAAATTTCAATTCGAACATTTGTTCGTTGCGCGATCCGCCATTGTTGTAAAATACGCGGGCATTTTTGAATTGCCTGATGCGCGCAAGATTCTTCTAGCCAGAAGGATAATAAAAGAAACTAGAACAATTTTTAATTTAAGTATATAATGATATATCCTTTTGTTATTACATGTCAGTTTTTTTCATTTAAAAAATCAATATGCATGCAATTGTGTTTTAAAATTTGAACGATGTCAATTCACACGAATTTTCGATCGATTGAAATTGAACTTACAAAGTAATAGGATTTTGCGCATATTTTGAAAGACGACATATCAGCGCAATAAATATATACATATTAAGAAATAATATACATATAGTATAATACAGTCGCATAACATAACAATTATTATACAACATATACATAATAGTAACTCATAGCGAAACGTAACGCAAAGTAAATAAAGAAATAACAATAGCATAGATATTATTCGTACATTAGAGAAATAATCATATTTCTAGTTTCCTTTGAGTTTTTCTGTTTTTCTAATTTCGGTCCCTGTGTTTCTTATTGCGTACACATTTTACATTTAATGGAGGATTAGGAAAGCAGGTTATTCGATTTTTCGTTGTGTTGATTTAACCTTGTTCGTCCATCCGGTCGATATAATATGTTATAAACAACATAAACGACATGTCCGAATAATTAATAATCGTGGCAACGAATTTTAACGCGAGGTACTTCGACAAACGTTCTGCTTTCGCACAGTCATAGTATGGACCGAAGTAGGAACAATTTTCACAAGTCAGAAATAAAAATCAATCTATAAATTACATCAATCATAGTCCATAAACATTTTCGTTCATTAATCATTTTAAAATCATCACTGTTTTTTTGATTATATTCGTAGGAAAAAAAAAAAAAAAAAAAAAAGAAATCGTTATTTTCGTTTGAAATCGAGCGACTCGTGGAACGATTGTTGTCTCAACAAAGCAACTATACATTGATGAAATTTCTCGAGGGAGGGAGGTGTGTGGCCATAAAAAATTTGAAAAAATAAAATTTCCAGCATCTGTGCTGTATATTTCCCTGTATCGTACGGCATGTACGTGCCGCGCTCCCCTTAAAGCATTTCAATGTATTTAGAAATTGGTATTCGTATCCACGCTGCAAAGTCATTCAGTAACATTACACATCGTCGATCTGGCAGTGATGCAGCTTTAGCCTTTGTTCGAACCGAATCGACGAGTTATCGATTCAGCCTTAGATATCAAATAATTTGCGACGCGCAATTCATGACGATTCAGCGACGTCCGTTCGAGTTTTCGACGAGATGTCGTTATTTAAACGCGTTGCATCGTTGCACGCGAGTTGATTCTCTGCTTTTTCCGATCCCACGCTGTCCATCTTATTATCCGATTTGATCGACGCGTTCAGGCTTTTTAAAAAGTTGCCCAGATGCTCCGCAGCTATAGGATTGTTTGCCCACTCGTTCGAAGGGAATGCAGCTAGCAATCTTTTCTGAAACATCTCCGAGGTCAGTTGTTTCGCGTCAGCTTGCTTAGTGGAGGTCAGTTTCTTTTCATTCTCGTTCGTCGAGGCTTCTGTAACGTTAGTCTCGCTCTTCGTCGAATTCTCCAGGGATTTCACTGCGTCTAACGTCTGCGAAGGAGAAGCACACCCTTGCTCCATTGTGGAGCAGCTTTTGCTAGAAGGATTTTCGATAGTTACCGAGCTAGAATCCGGACTTGCGGGTGACTTGCTACTCGATACTTCTGCACCTATGTTGCTGTTCTTCGTCGGGCTTGATGCGGGTACGTCGTTGTCTATTCCGTTCGAGGCGGTGTTCGTGTTATTGTTATGACCGCTGGTAGTCTCGTTGATGGTGTTCGCGCTGGTATCACCGGGTGGTGGCGACGGAGAAGCCGTGGACGATACTCTTGGACTGGCTGCTTCGCGATGAGGCGTTTGACGCGACGAATTGTCCGGTTCTTTCCTCGTATCGTTGTTCGTCTCCAAGTTTGAATCACGATTTACTTCGGTAGACGGTTTGTCCTCATTGTTCACCACTGTGCTACTGTTGTTAGTGTTGTTAGTAGCTACTCGAGCTGGCGAGTATCGATTGTTAGCTTCCGCGACCGGCGAGTACTTTGTTGTTTGGACGGACAATTGTTGGCCAGGCTGTGTGGAGTCGAGAGGTTCGTTAGCGCGATACACAGGCGTTTTGCTTATCTCGTTCGCGGCCGATCTCGCGTTTGTACTGGCCGATTTATCGTTCGATTGTTGCTTGGTTATCGCAATGGCCAAAGGCGCTATCGACGATCTCGCCGGTTTCACTGGCGCACACTGGGCAGCCAGGTGACTTTTCCCGGACATACTACTAGCGTTCATATTTCGAGTGTCGGTGTTGGACATGGTGGTATTCGGGTCGGTCCCTCGTGGTATCCTTAGCTTTGCATCCGTCTGAAACTGCTGAAGATTCGGCGCTTGGCTCAAGGCATAGAGGCTTTGCAGACTGGGAAAAACGGATGAAAGATTTGTGCTGTACCTGCTGTTGCCCAAAGAATTGGAGAAGCCAGGTGCATAAACTGGCGTTCTCGCGGGTGTCGGAAGCGGGCAGTCGTTGACTCGATGAGCTGCTGGAGTCAAGGAGCCCGGTGGCGCGCGATAATACCTGTGACCGCCAACCAACGTTACGACTTGCCCCTGATCCGAAATATTCGGCGCGTCTCTGATCGTCGGTTTCGCTTTGAGTTTCGTTACTGGCTGCGGTATTCTTAACGGATGTATATCCATCTTTTTCCCCCCGCTCAGATCCAAAATCTCCCTGGATTCCTGTTCCCTTTCCCGCTTGGCAGCAGCAGCAGCAGCAGCACTCGTCGTCTGTCGTTGTTGGTTGTTCACGTCGTTGTTCACGTCCGATTGCTTAGGCTGCTTTGGTTTTGTCGGCGCGGGCATTTTTATCTGGCCGGCCTTCAACGCTTTCAACACTCGTGGATCGACAGACCTGTCGTTGAGAGTTATACTGGGGCTCACTTTCCCCAACGTGTTCTTCCGACTATCTTTCGAATCGTTCGCTTCGATGTACCCGCCGCTGCTCCCCGGTGATTTCGGCGCTGTTAAAGTTATACTGAGGCTCGCGGGAATGTTCAACCCGCAGCCGTCCAATATATTCCTCGTGTCGTTCGAGAGTACCGGGGCAGGCGAAGCTTTCGGACTCGGTGTCGTAGGTGTCCGACTAGGGCCAGGCTCTCCAACAATGTTTATCGGTCTCTTCCCTGGAATGACGTGCTCCGTTGGCAGCTTGCGAGGTGACTTGCTGTGATTTTGGATGACAGGAGGCGGATGAACGTGCGCCTGCTTCTTCGAGATTTGCGTCGAAGCGTGTTGGTGCTTCCTCTTCTTCACGTCGAAGATCGGTAAACCAGGCGGACATTTCCTCTTTACGGCTCCCACGGGAACCACCGGCGGATCATTGGAGAACGTGTAAACATCTACCTTCGCTGGACTGTTGCTCACGTTGATGTTCATACCTACGTTCGTATTCTTCGAGTAACCAATCGTACACACATTTACGTCACTGCACTGTTTATTCGCATTCACTCGCGCGTTTCCAATTCCGTCCAGCACGCTTGCGACTCGTTTACTGGCGCTGGCATTAACCGAGATGTTCTCGCTGTTGCTCTTACACCTCGAGTCGCTTGTAACGATATTCGGGGTCTCTGTCGCTGCTGCGCCCTCTTTCTCCGGCGTAGTGTTACCTTTATTCTGCACATCGTTCGCCTCCTTGCTCGCATTCGTTTCGTTCAGCTTAGAGGAAGACTCCGAAACCATTTCTGGTCCCGAGTCCCTAGCTGTTAACTGAAAACCTTGAAGGAACTGCTTCTTCTCTTGTTGTTCGCCTGGCTTCTTCTGTATAGTTTTCAACGCGTTACTGGCCACAGTCTTCTCGGGAATCGACTGTTCCACGAAAGTCACTCTCCTCTTTTGCTTCTCCTGCTTCTCGGTCTTCTCACGCTTCTCCTTATCTCTGTGAAGCTGTTGAACGAGCAATGCGTCAGAGCTATCCTTGTCTGCAACTTGGCTGCAGTGTAACAACACGTTGCTGATAACTTTCGGCTTGTTCGGGCTGGAATTGTTCGGCGTGCATTGTTTCAACGTGATCTTCACCCCGTTCGAGTTCTGACCGTTCCCTATACTGACGACACTGAATTCCGGGTTCGAGGGTTTCGCCTCGATGCTCCTGGTACTCGGTTCCTTCGGATTCCAAGTACCCGAAGGGCTTCTTAAGACTTCGTACCTTCCATCTGGATTTTTAAGTATTTTGATAGGTGTCTTGATCTGTTTAGTTTCGTTGTTCGACGCGGACGAGGCGACAGTGTTGGTAGCTGTCGTCGTTGATGCAACGTTCGTCGACTGTATCGAAATTGTGGTCAACGTCGCGGTTGTCGACGTTGTTACCGTACTAGACGGTTGTTCCTTCTTAGCAGTGGCTTTCTTGTTTTCACTCGAGGGTGGTTGATCACTTGGGGCACGTGGCTCCTCGTTCGAGGCTTTATTTTGATTGTCCAACGCAGCCTTTTTGTCGTTGTTCGTAATCTTCGCTTGTGGCCTGGATTCCACGTTGTTCTCAGAATCAGTTGTTCTCTGCGAGTTAATATTTTCACGTGTGGCGACTGTGGCGTCAACAGGAGGTAAACTGGCACCTAAACCAGGAGTGGATGGCCTGTCGTGAGGAGGCGCCTCTAATCGTTGCTCTTCCAACGCCACTCGATAGAAAAATCGCATTGGTGCATTCTAAAAATAAAATTTTTATTAGATGTTTTCATGACAAACTGAACTTCTTATAGACATTGTAATATACTGTATCAAATTCATATTGTTAATAGCATGATTTAAAGAGCAGGACCTTGGTTGGAAATTGAGAAAATTGAGCCAAATTCCCAATTTTCTATAAATACGTGGAAATTCGCAATTCACTCATTGATGTGCGATTGGATTTTTAATCTATTTAGAATCAAACAATAGTTTGTAATAAAGTTTACAAATAGAAAATGAAAGGACCGAAATCTCATGTCAATGCAATGTGAGAGAAGCCAAATTGTAATCATCAACTGTGTGTATAATCAAACTGCTAATTTTTCTGCTTTTATAAGTAAATTTAAAATATATAAAATAATAGTCTCTAAAGTATTCTCTCTCTAATGCATATTTGGTAGAGAGGAAGCAATTTTCTACCAAGATTCCCTCTTTTTAATTATAAAAATGTGAATCTGTACGAACGTCCGCAATCTATTTATAACACTGAAATGAACAACAGTTTACCCTTTTCCACGCATAAATATAAGCGACATCCATGAGTGTCCAGTGTTCAGGAAGCGGGGCACGCCGATGGCAAATCTCTATGGTGTATCTCGTCATATCGACGCTGTATTTCAAAGCTAGGAATTTCTTTAAATGCGCGATGGTGACAAGTGCCGGGCACTGAAGGTATCGCCTGTTGCTTGTTGCATTTGTGCCATGGTTACCGATGTTATTGCTATTGATGTTATTGCTGGCGTTATTACTGTTGTTACTTTGATTGTTGGATGCGTTCGAATGATTAGTGTCGTCATTGGTGCTGAGCAGGATGGCTAGAGGATCTGCTCCCGGTGGCAGATATTCCAAGCTTAAGCTAACTGCATCTTCTGGAGCGAAAATTAATCTTCCACTCACGTCCTCCCCACGTTGTTCTGGTGTCGCTAAATCCGCTGTAGAAAATATTTATATCTATTGAAATAACATGTACGTTGTAATGGTTTTTTTTCAACAACTTAATTTATGAATAGTGCGAAGATCATGGAGGTCCTCCAGACAAACAGTTATCAAAATAATTTCTAAAAAAATGTTCCGTGTACAAGTATTGAATATTAAATATTATGCATGTATTTTAAAAAGTCCAAAATCCAGACGAGTTCTGTTTTAGAAAAAGCTTATTCTTAAAAAAATATTGATTCTAGAGACCAATAGTCAAATATTATTTTTATAATGTTCCAGTCTTGAATAGTAATTTTACTGAAGACTCTAAACCGATAGTGAAATATATTTTAGTTTTGTAATTATTTCTATGATAAATTTATAATGTTAGATTAAATTAACTAGTGCATTCTTTAATGGAGATGCCTCTTTCTTCTCACGAATTATTTCAAACTACAACACTTTCAAAATGCATTTGTCTGACATAAATGATTGACAATTGTACCATGTTCAGGATGTTTCTTGTAAAACTCCCTTCTCCTGCGCATCTCTTTGTGATACAGTCCGGGGACCAATTTATACACGATGTCTTGCAACGCCTTGTCGGCTCTGAAAAATCAGGATCGTTTTTTAATCGATCGAAAAATGAGAAAGATTCGAGCAAAAGTAGTCATCGAAGGATTTTCATAATTTAAGTCGTAAAAGTCTTACTTGATGTTCGGCTTGGCTTTGTTGAGAACATGTTTGCACGAGGGGCAATGTGCTTCTGTGTTGAGATGCTTGAGTATACAGCTTCTACAAACTGAACAGCGAAAAAGCAACGTATCATTACCCGTTCCACGAGATATAGGCATCTAATCCGAGATATAGGGCTCGATTCGATTCGATTGTACTTACACGAATGCAGGCACTCGACGACGGTGGTCGCGTCTATAAGGTAGCCTCTGCATAAAGGACAAATAAGATAAGGATTCACCTCGCGAAGGTACGTCCTTTTACCTATCCCTGACATTTTTCCTATTGCGCCACCGAGTTGTCGGTGATGGTACCTGTAACGACGGAAATAATTTCATCGTAATATCATCGATATCATAAACCAACAACGATCTCTCTCAGATCTCTCAATTTCGCTAAAAATTCAAGGGACAAGATCTTGGTCACATGTCGTTCTGCGCCTCGCAATATATCTTTCTTCGAACTTTGGTGGGAAAAAGGGACTTTTGGAATTTATGGGAATCGACCACGATTGCATAATAATTTTATGAGCTTCACTTCGTAGAGAGAAGCTGATGTCGATTTGATTTTTATCTGCGTTCCATTTCCCTTCGAAATTATTACTAAATGATATGAAATGTAATATCAACTGAACCTAATTAATTAGTACGTGTAATTGCAACCGCTGTGTATTTCTTCTTTTTAAATAATTTTCTAATTACTGAAAATGGACGTTTAATCGTATCGTTGGCTATTTATACCTTTCACAAATTTATATATAACATAATTGACGGGAAAGAGAATTTCTTGTATTTCAAATTCGATGACTATTGAAATTACTCAATTTACAATAACTTTAAAATGATTTGATCGTAAACATAAGACATACGATTCACTCGAGACTAGCCTTTCTAACATGATCAAAAGCTTGGCATCACCTTCTCGGTATTCCAATAAATTAGAATGCATTTATCGTATCGTGCTTTCTTCCCCAAAAAGACCAAAAGATTTAATCTAGACGTCAGTGAGAATTTTTGCTTACTAAAATTCAAAGAATAATAATAATATTAATTTTAGTACAAAGAGCTCTCGAAGTACTTGATGGAAACTTCTACCACAGGAAACATTCACGTATATATTTTATGTATTATGTAAAACGTTTTCATATTTTATTAGCACTGTAATGGGACACGACTGTCGCGATTATATTGATCAAATTCGAATAAGAAAAATTGGCCTAGCCGGCACGGATAATCACTGTAGTTTACGCAATAAGTATTAAAGATAGTTCATCTGAATATCGAGGCCTTATCGATATAGGAAATAATTCACCGTTTCATGATTTCTGCAACGTACATATCTACTTGCATTAAACATCTTGCAACTTCCATTACATTTTCAGATTTGTTTCAAGCTTCACTGACAGGATAATAATCCGAGTCTCTCGGTTATAACGTTGATGAAATTACTCGTAAAAGGTATTTACACACGTGTTCGGATATCCTCGCGGACTACTGCATATCGTTTTTCCTTCGTTAAAATGCAGCTCGCCTATTCCTTTCCGTACTTTGATCAACAAAACGCGTATTTATCGTCATGCTGTGTTTTTCTCTTTTTCTTTTCTTTCTTCGAAGCGGTAAAGTACATCGTCAAGTCCAACCTTTAATCTAACGTTTAAATATATTACACAGAAAGTAACGATCTCCCGATAGAATTCAACGTCGATCCCCCTTTGCACGTGTTGAGGAAATTGCAAAGACAAAGAGGATAGAAACCGAGAGAGTTGTCTCGCCTCGAGATAATTCGATGGTCTCATCGTTCGAACGTCTGAAAATCGTCCCCCCCCCCTTGTCAACTGTGGATCCCGCGTATTTTTCCCCGGTCGATCGACTTTGATCGACGAATGTCTGGATTAGAAACGCCCGAACGCGGCACATCGTGTTTATCGGTGTTTCTTTTTTCTTTTTTTT